CGTTAAGTATTTTATCGTGAGTTTAAATTAGTGGACCCACGGAATCCGTAACAATAGTATTCTATTATCCCTTTCTATCGGAGGACGGCGATAGTAGAGTTTATTAGCACTCTGTGCCGATATCGTTTTTGTTCGGCTGTTTTCGCGTATTTTTCGCTAGCGATCCTATTAATCCTACAAACGTTAGCAACTGAAGCGCCTGATACAAATTTTGGTGTTATTTTCGTCTTTGTTTATCGCACATTTAGATAATGTGGAAACATACTCCGACGGGTAAACAGAGAACGCATAGAACGTTTGTTTACATGATAGATAACCTAACCAAAAATTAGTTTAAATATTAAAACATCTTCAGTAAAAAAATTAAGAATCTTTATTATATGATTTTGATTAGCAAAATGGGGGTAAGGACCGAACATTGGAACTTACTGTTAAACATTTGCGAGAACAATCCGGCATTAATAACAAATAAATTTAATGGTACTGAAGGAATGCAATGCCTTATGGCAAAGTGTTTCGGTACAATTGAATAGTTTAGGATATGGTGAAAAAATCGTGGATGGTTGGCGAAAAGTAAGTAAGTATGTTATTATCTTGTCACAGACCTTTATTAATCTGGAAATAAGTTATAAATTAAGTGGTAAGGGTAATATCACAAACTTATATTTATTTTCAGACGCTTACTGATTTACTGATTGGAAATGCAAAACAAAATCAAAGGCTTCTGCCATAAAAATGGAGCAGCCATGAACTGGTGGTGGTCCCCTCAGGATCCTCCATTAACAACATTAGAGGCAATTTACGGTGACGAGATAGTGCCCGAGTTAGGATTTGGTTAGTTGAAAAAAGTCACAAAGGCATTTACATTATCATGTTCTTTAAGTTGTTTGTTAATTGGTGTTGGTTATACGTTGAAATTCTCAAAAATATGGAGACTGATGCACCATCCACCAGTGCCACACGAACTCCCAGTGTAAAAAGAAAGTTAGAATACAAAAGCACTCATTCAGAAAGGTGCTATTCAGGCTAGCTCAATCGGCGACATCGACAGTTGAATTATTTGAAGGCCGTTCATGTTTATTGTGTGTTTATTTCATAATTATTACCATATTATATATATTTTTTAAACAAAATATTGTTTATTTGGTACAGAAACAAATTATAATCTTCTAGCCTTTCCTCTTCTCCTGCTGCCATGGTATTTATTATGTTAATTGGCAACATATTTAAATAACTCTCACACAAAATAGAGTTGTCAACAACTCAAAAACATAAACAACAACAAACAAAACCTTAGATTAGCAAATTCCTCTGAGAAAAAATAGGTAACTTAATCTAATAACCTTAAAAATGTCAAATATATTCTGAATACGCGTGCGCTACGTAGAATTCGATACCAATTGAAATGTAGAAATCAAGCGACCAAAATAATCGCATCTTATCGATATCGTTGCCGCACGGAGAGCCGATCCTATAGAATTCTGACGATATGTAGAATTCTACATGACACAGAGTCCCACTGCAGTACTTTTTTCTCGTCAGCAACTTGCTTTCGAACATTCTTTTTCAAGTTTTCATATAATTTTCTTTTGTTCTAGATACTCCTTCAAGTGATTTTGAGTTAAAAATATTGGATATTTTATGCCAGGCAGCATCTTTCTCACGCCATGTGACGGCATCGGTTTTTTTGTTTTCTACAATATTCTTATAACTTTGAACAATGTTTAAAAGCAACGTTTTTTTCTGTTAGCGAATAATTCACTTTCTTTTATTCGTTCATTTCAATAAATTTACTAAAATCTTTGCTAAACAAACCTAAACACAACTTCAAAATTATTATAAACGTGTTATAAACCCAAACAAGAAATCTGTCACTGTCAACATCGTGCCAAATGACAAATTATCCTCACAATGTACCCACGACAAAAATATAAAATAACCTATATATTTTCTATGTTGCCGATAATTTCCTCCATTTTTCTAAGCCGAACATATTCGGAGCTTTTGCAAAACAATCTCACCTGAAGGGCGACCCTCAGTTCTAGCAGCGTTTGAACAAGTGGAGGACATAGGCGGAAGTGGTGCACGTGGCCATAAGCGAATCCTAAGTGGTTCCTGGAGCTTCATCAAAGTTCGTATTTGTATTTGTATCCGTATCAGAATCAGACATCTGTTGTGATTGTGAAGCATGTAAAGCTAGCGGTGCATTATCTTTTAATACATTTACACAATGTATACAAAGACATTTTTTTTTGTTCAACAACTAATTCAATAATTTATCCTTTGAGCTCAGTATCCATTTCTTAACTTCAGTATCCATTTCTTAACTTCAGTATCCATTTCTTAACTTCACTGTCAGATCAAATCAGATGTTTTTGGATTTATTTATCCTTTGTTTTGGTTATTGAAATTTTATAATTATCAGATAAAATTTCGTAGTTAAATTGGTTATTTTTGATGTGGATCGCAGTGTGCAATTTGTTCATTTAATTGTGGAATTTCTGAGTTAAGTTCGTTCATTGACCGGATATGAAATATGGCTGTCGAAAAATAGTCTAGAACATCGGTTTTTATTTATGCCTTTTTGTGAGTTGGACTAGTCAAGATATATAGTTCTCTATCTATATTCTGGAGGGAGATTTCCGGTAGAAATCTGATTTTGTTAAGGAAATCGAATCCTTGCATCACTTCTTGTGTACTCCCCGACCGAGAATATCGTCGTGAAGAGCTGGCTGCCGTTTCGTGAAGCATTCCCTGTTGGTGAATAGCAGGTCTTCATGAGAAGGATTAAGGCTTCCGAAATATATTTGGTCAGAGACGTGGTTGGATTTTGTTGAATTTGTATGGACCACCGACCAAATTTCCGTCAAGGGATTAAATAGCCGAATTTTCCGACCGATATTCCGATTCCGCGTGCCCAAGAAGTCCCCGAATAGTTCCAAGGTATGCTATAATTCTTCTGCCTATTCTAAGTCAATGCTCAACTGATTTTTATTCGTATTGTTGACTGGTTTTCGACTTTTCCACGCCCACGTGGTGTAGAAAGATTAGTTGAGTGTTATCTTTCTTAAGTCTTATTTGGTTGTTCGTAATTGTAGAGCAAGAAGACCGACCCAGACCGTACAGCACAGAACAGTCCAGAATTCCATCCGTTCCTGTTGCCCGTATGTAGAGTTACCCGTTGGACATCATAAACCCTCGTTGAGGTAAAGTTCAGATTTGATTAGTCCTTCTTTATTACCTTTATTAACTCCTACACGTTGTGCTAGTCCTTGTTCTATAATTGAGGCTCTTTTCTAAGACAACCAATGTTATTTAGGGTTTTTTATGTTCACCATTTGAAATCTCAACACCTACCTTTCACCTGTACCTCTGCTGACATCCGTGGGCTCCAGTGACAGTACACCGAGCTGCTGTACACCGCCTTAGCAAGCCTGTAGCTATACGCCGTAGCTCAGCCGGAGGAAGTTTTCAAGTATATCACATCGAGTAGAGTAAGACTGTTTAGATATTTGTATAATTTTAGATTTGATTTATGGGTATAAACCACCCTGATTGTATCTAGTATTAAGTTAGATAATGGGGTTTGACATCATAGGTTTAGTTATTTCTGACTTGATTTATATTTTATTCTACTTTTCAACGTTTATTCATTTCCATTTCTTTAAATATTAACTTTTGATATTTTAATAAATTGCTTAAATATTTTTAGTAGTATTATTTACAGTCTAGTCTCAGAGTTAAGTTAGAGTCACTTAAGTTCAAATAATTATAGTGAGATTTGAAGTTCATGATAGTTGCACTCAACAGTTCGACGTTAGTGTTGAAGTCTACTTAATAGTAACATCTTTTATGCCGAGTTCATAGAGTATAATCTCGTGGCTCGTCCTTTTATTAATATCTTTGAACCCCGACCACCCGGCTGTTAAAATAAAAAAGCTAGTGGCCTCTATGCAACTCATTCAGATTAAGTAAACTTTGTGTTTTATTGAACTTCGAATTAGAAAGGGCGTGGCAATGTGTATCAATTTTAATTCCCAATTAAGATACATTATCACATTCAGGAATAATAATATCTGTATTGTCAATTTTAAGATAACCAAAGTCTGGTAGTCTATCTGCATATGTTGTAAATGGAAGAAAGTAAGTGTTTTTTGTATTTAATGTAAGCATTCTTCTTCTTACAGTGCCATACTCTATATAGAGCGTCGGCTACCTCTCGCATGTACTTGTGATGTGTGTCATCAGTGTTTCACAAGTACACCTATTGTATATACCAACGTAAGCCTATTGTATTGAAAACAACTGAGAAATCTCGTTCTGTCTTGTGTTTTAACTCTTTCCAAGTGTCTTCTGTATAGAGGACAACAGTATCATCTGCATAACTTATTATTTGTCCCTGTGTTTCGAGGTATAACAGATCATTTATGTAGATTGTAAATAAAAGCAGCCCAAGCACAGTTCCCTGCGTGTATTTTTTTTACCATTTCGTAATACTTCGGAAGCAGTTTTGTAGAAAAATATGTTCGACTAGGAGTTACGTATTTTGGACAAACAACCTTTATGAATTTCTGGAAACCACTACTCTCAACTAAACTAAAAGGAAGAGATTCCAGGCAAAGCATTTCTAGTATAGCTTTATGAATAAGTCTTGCTTTTATGCTTTATGTATAAGTTTCTTGGTCTCGTTGACCCTGTTGATTACTACTTATTATTACTAATTACTAATTACTTATCAGACTTATCAGACGTATCAGAATTAAGAATTGTTTCTATTTCTTGCATTTGATTATCTTGAGAATCGTGATCATCACAATCACTATTAGGATTTTTTTTATTTTTGTCACTGATTGATACTAATTTAGATTTACCTTTAGTTGTTCCTAAAACAATAATAATTTGTGTATAGTTTCTATCGGGACCGGTCGACTATCCGGAAACACGATTTTGAGAAAAAAAATTTTTTGATTTTCAAATAGTGGTTTTGAACAAAAAAAAATGCGGATTATTCAGTATTTTTTACAAAAAAATAGAAAAAACCTACAAATATGACCTCACTTTTCCCCTTTATGAAGGACATATTATTTACTTTCAGCGTATCATACGTTCGCCATGTTGCCACGTCTAACAAAAAAACTGGAAGTACAGAAAAATTATTTAATATTAACTTCAAATAAAAAACTACATTTAATAGTGTTACTGGAAATATCCGATTTTAAAAAGAAAGAATGATCCTCTTCCCAACCTTTGACACAGATCAATGAATAATATCTCTTCTTATCAACTTCATATCACTATCGCTACCACAACATGTGGAATTACTAATTAAATAGCCTGAAATCAGGTATTTTCTGTAACAACACTAACAAAACAAAAATGAAAGGCCTTAATATAATACCATTATACTCTATATTTTAATCAATAATAACAAAACAAGAATGAAAGACTTAATCTAACCACCTACTCATTTTATTAATCTTCACCCTGGAACTTGCACCAATTCAACCAATTAACCGAACCTAATATACTTCAGCCTAAACCTCACCCAAACCCAATCTAATCAAAACCTCAATATTTTTCTGCAATTTGATTTGTAAATTAAGTATTCTTTAGGAGGCTGTCCTCCCAAAAACTTGCCTCCACATAAACATGTCAACTTACTCGGTTATAAAAGGAGAGGACATAACCCCCAACAGTCTTATAGGTCCTCCACCTCATTGGTGCAAGTTCCAATATGTGGATCAACAAAATAACGGGAATGGTTCACAGTTCTATGGGTATATCCTAAATTTTGCGCATTACCATATACCCTCCACTCGTCTGCCCAAATCTCCGATACTTGTCGCACTATTTGCAGAATGACTCCTTCCAGAGCAGCTGCTCTGCGATTTTGGATAAGCCTAATATAACCTTTTTGACTGTAACATTGTATATGCCTATTAACCACTGTTCTCTCACCAATCTGCCTCTATTATATTTTCGTTTGGTCAACACTGACTCATCAATTTGAACCACTAAACCTGGCCCTCCTATACCAAATTACATATAAAAACAATAAAATAAGTAGAAATAAATCATTCTGATCTGGCTGTATTAATTTCCAACTCAGCAGTGGGACTCTGTATTCTATAGAATTCTATTAATCGTTTTATTTCTATATGACTCGCACTCCGTGATCAAAACGCTATCGCCTAGTGTCGATTGGTTCTGTCATTGAAAACGTATGAGGTGTCTAGACGTATCGTTTTCTGCAAATCGGCTTTTTTTAACCTCACTTTTATCATGAATAATGAATTGACCCTTGACCGTTTCTTTGTTTATATTACGTCATATTACGTTCAGACAGTTTATTTTGTGTTGACGCCGAGGACCGAGGAGAGTTAACATTGTTAAATTTGCTTTTCTTCCTTGAAAATGAGAGTTCGACAAGAACATTGGTCAATGTTGCTCGATATTTGCGAAAGAAATCCGGAATTAATCACTAACAAGTTTAACGGGCCCGAAGGAAAGGCAAAAGGCCATGCACTATGGCTGACAGTGACCCAGCAGCTTAATAGTTTAAGGTTTGGTGAAAAATCCAAAGAAGATTGGAGAAAAGTAGGTGATGTTAATTTAATTAAATCATAATTAATTCTTAAACAACTACATTATTGTTGAAGTTTAGTCTAGGTATGTGAATAACATTTAATCTGCATTTTACTTACAGGCACTCATAGATTGGAAAGTCCAAGGCAGCCAAATTAAATAAAGAAATGAAAGGAACTGGAGGGGGTCCAGCTCAATGCGTGCCTCTTTCGGAACTTGAAAATAGGCTGCTTAATCTTATGGAAACAGTGGCAGTTGAAGGAGATAATGTGGCCGAAATGGGCTTTGGACAAGTAAGTTTCTATAATTTTTGCAATATATTATTTTAGTGAATGCGGAAAGGCTAAACCTATAGTATTGAAGGTCTACATATCATATTACACCCTTGTTTTTATGCTTTTCAAAAGGTGTGCTTATGTACATTTAAATCGCAATATTTTGTTTAAGGTAACAGTGATTCAATTTCTAGAACCCAGCGTAGTTGTTGTGACACCTGAAGCTGCAGGTCGTTCTGAACTGATATCCTCAAGTTGTGGTCTGAAAAGACCAATGGAACCAAATCTTGACCATGATTATACTGCTGAGACCTCTGGTGGATCTTCACGTTCATCAAGTGCTGTCAAAAGACAGGTTAAATTTAAACCATCTCGGAGGATTAAACTACTCCGGGAAGGTGTTTGCAACAGGCTTATTGACTTGTCTGAGGAGACTTTAAATACCTTAAAATGTATTGAGGAAAATACTCGAGCTATTGCAGAAAGTTTTAAAGCCAAGCAATAAATTATAACTTATGGTTGTTAATTCAAATTTATTTTAATACTGTTTTTAGTTTTATTATCTTGCTTGTGACCAAATTTTGTTAAGAGTCATTAAAACACAGTTCTATAGCACAAATAATTTTCATGGCTGCTATTAGTCGTAGGAATTATTATTTGCAAGATTCTTCAACCAATAATGCTGCCAAAAATCAACTTGTCAATGTAGATTAGTTTTATTTTGTTCCTATATTTGTTTGGCACTGCAAACAATTATTTGAATCATTATTCAACTGCAAGTTGAATAATAATGTAGTTAAGTTTGTTAAAATCAAAAGTTTGTTGATTATTATTTAGTAGATTTTGTTGCCATATTTGTTGTAGGTATATTAGGTTTATTTCAGTTAATTTGCCAAAGTTTAGTACTTAACCACTTTTGTGATATAATAGTAACAAATGTGATAATGTACATTTGTATGCTAGTAAGCATAACAATTAATAGTGATGTACCTATTTTTAAGTTTATTTTTTGTAATAAAAACCTGGAAAATATTACCTTAATAATAAGAACTAACTAAAATATCTTTATTTTCTAAATATATAAAATCAACATTATGTACAAAAAAAATTAAAAAATTAATTTGTAAAATATCTTGCAATGATGTTTCTTCTTGTTAAATGTCCTTCCCTGTTTATTCTGGCATCATTATTGTGAACTCTAGCATCCCCAAGTTGATCTTGTGGTAGGGGCACATTTAAGTCCAACTCCAATCTAGCTACAACACATACATTATGTAAAATTGCACAGGCATTGGCAATATTTCCAACTTTTTCAGGAGAATACCTCAGTGTTCTTGACAAACACATAAATCTCCCCTTATATAGACCAATACACCTCTCTACACAATTCCTTGTCTGCACGTGTGCCACTGTATATCTGCCGTCTGGAGTTTCTGGATCAGCATTTTCTATTGGGGTCAGTAACCATGGTTCTAGTGGATAACCAGAGTCTCCTAGCAGCCAAGAATGTCTGTCACCTGTGAAACTAAAAGAAGTGAGTTTTTACCTCATAAAAATCATTAAACTAAAATACCTCTAAGATACCACGATTCCAGTTCATCTCTAACAAGTGAATGCCTCCAAATGTATGCATCATGGGTTGCTCCAGCGTAACGTGCATTTAAGTTTAATATTTTCAAATCGTAATCAACAAAACAAAAACCTAACAAAACAAAATAATAGTTGATAAAATAGAAATGTTTCGTCAATATACAATAATGTAATATTAATACTACCAAGATAATATAAGTGATAAATTATACTATTTATTTCTACGAGCACGTATAAACTTTAAAACTTAGAAATGTATCTATAATAAAGTAAATAAACTCACTATTTGTATGTTCTTTGAGTGGAAACCTTTTCTGTTTAAGTAGTTGTGTTCCTCTGCTGCAGGCCTCAATATTCTAATGTGTGTGCAATCCACTGCACCAATAACACCAGGGAAGTGAGTTGTTTGCATAAATCTAAGTTTAATCTGGTTTTTTTGCTGCTCAGTTCTTGGAAAACATATCCACCGTTCTGAATAAGTGTTAACAATCGCGGTGGTAACCTCCTCTATTGCCTTGGACATACTTTGCTGGGATATTGAAATATCAAAACTTCGCCCAATTACCCTCTGGAATGTGCCTGTAGCATAAAATTGTAGTACGCCAAAAAATTTTATCACTGGAGGTATCGATACGGGATTATTTGTTTGGTGCAGATGAGCTATGATTCCATTGAAGAGATATTCGGCCATATCTTTTGTTATTCTTGATAGAGTTCCTTGAACCTCGTGTCCTCGATTGAAAAAGGATCACTATCAGCCCTCATTACTCGCCGCTCAATATTTTCCAAACGAATATTTTCTCTTCTTTCCACTTCGTCAGCTACCAATATATTTGCCAAATTAATAGGCAACATCATTAAATCTTAAGACTTAAATACAAAGAAAAAATATATGTATTGTGTATATTTTTGTTTACATCAAATCAAAAATAGTCAAAAATTGAAAAAAATGATAATTGACTTTTAACCAGCTAGTGTAAACCACAGATCACCTCTGTAAACTACAAAATCCCTAAAAAATAACGAAATATTTTTAGATCGAATAGTATTTTATCGAAAACGCCCGAAGTATAGGCGATTGTAACACATAGTGCCCTTAAAGTCGACTATCGCTTTCGATGATAGAATTCGATGATAGAAAACGACATGTAGAAATCGATCTTGCACAGAGTCCCACTACAGTACATCTCTAAGGTATCTATGCTGTTGAACCACCATTTCTTTCCTCAAGCCCAATAACTCAGCAATACATCCTGTCCTCAAATCGCAAGCCCAAGTCCAAGGTAGTCGTAAGACCTGCCTTACAGGAACGTTCATTTTCTCAAAAAAGGATCCTGTTAACACAAAATAATGTTTGCGGCATTTTTATGTAAGATATTACTATCTCCTACACTGGCGAACCAAGCAGCGAAAATTTCTTTTTAATAAATCAATTTCCTGCAAATACAAAACTAAATCTTCATCTGATGTGGAAGTTATTTGAAGAATATCTTCGATACTGTTTATATCCATTTTAAAGAAACAAACTTGCAGGAAAAGACAAAAACGAAATAACTTCTAAAACACCTTCTTGTAACAACTTGACATTAGCAACATGGCTAAAAAAGAGAAGCGCCCGAGAAGAATCAGCCAATCCGTGATAATCACGTGAAATTAAAGGAGTACGTTCAAGAACACGAATCAGGTGATTCTGTAATATCGATCTATCTTTATCTAACTCACGTAAAATGACAGTAACAATTCTGTTGACGACCACTGCTGTTAAGATAAACACGTCCTCTTTAGAAATGGTTGCCTGCATTGCACAATGTTGTTTATAGATGTTGTTGCTTTAAAAATATATTTATATTTTTTTCTATGTAAACAAGTGAAGTTTTTTGAATTTTCCGCACCTAAATAAGTTTTAAAATTGCTAAATTGTCATTTTTGGTAAGAATCATCACTGTAAAACATCTCGTTTTTGTTTCCGGTTAGTCGACCGTAACCGCACGGAAAAAAATCATTTATATATTCAAGAACAATCATACACTTAAAATTTTACACTTTCTTTAAGGATAGTATTCTTTCCATGAGTACAACAAATATTTGGAACTATTTTACTTTTACACTTGCTTCTTAAATATAGTTATAGTCACTTTAAGTAATTTCAAGGTAATTTTAGCAATAATCCTACATTATTTGATGACATTGGTTTGAGGTTAGGGGGACTCTATTTTAATATGCATTATTTCTTATACATTGGTGGTAAACTAGGTATGTACGCGTTTGGAATGATTCAAATATGTTTTAACAATTTTTATTATCGTTTCTCGTTTTCAATTAGAGATGCCGCTGTTCAATATCTACTTATATTAGGAAATTACACAGTTTTATTGTATTTTCTTATTACGAAAAGCAAATAATTTGGTAGGTGATGTTTGGCTAATCTAATTTAAAAAGTATTAACCATATTCGGGGTTATTCTGGTGATATTTCAATATTCCATACCTATTGGAAATGGAAATTAAAATTTTTAGCATGTCCCAACTCTATTATATTCATGTATGTTACCGGGCAAACCCGATTTTAGGATAAACTAGTTTTTCTTAGGACGAATATTAACCGGGATCGAAAAACTATATAGTTTCTCAAAAATTCGGTAACGTGTTCCCTATGCTTTCGGAGGTTCGGGTTCGATCTTGTTAGAAACTCTTGTTTTGGTAAAATGCTTAATTTCCATTTATCCTTAATTTCATCATTTACAATAGGTATGGAATTTTGAAATATCACCAGAATAACCCGGAATATAGTTAATACATTTTTAAATTAGATTAGCCAAATATCACCTACCAATACTAAGTTTTTTTCATGGCTTTTCGGCTGCGCTGTGAATACGTGACTTCTGCCTTCTGCCAGCGACGCGCTCCCCGCCGGCGGCGATCAAGGTCGTGCGCTAAGACCCTTGTGCGCATCATTACGTCGTATGCTTTTCAATAAGAAAATACAGTAAAACTGTTCCAAATTTCCCAATATAGGTAGATATTGACAGCGGCATCGCTAATTAAAAACGAGAGACAGTAATAAAAATTGTTAAAACATAATTGAATCATTCCAAACGTACATACATATATAGTAGTATATAGTTTACCACCACTGGGGTATAAAGCATGCATATTAAAATGGAGTTACTAACCTCAACCAATGTCATCAAATACTGTAGGATTATTGCTAAACTTCTACCTTGAAACTTACCTTTTGGGGATCAAATCGTCATCTCCCATGCCTGAAGAAGGTCCTCCATTTTCACATATCAGTAGCAAAAACGATAACAAAAAAATTTATTATTTACAAAAACTACTTAGTTTGGCGCGTCTAGTAAAACTAACCTAAAAAGTAAGAAGAGAGGCTTTATTTTATAGTAGGTGATATTACACCTTGAATAAAGTAATTATTACATGTACACAAAGAATTTCTATACTTAATGCAATAATTTGCTAATTTACAAATAAGTATAAGTAGTACTAGAAACAAGATTTTATCTCGAATTCAAATTTCAATACTAGGTAAATCTTAAATAAAAGATACATTTTCTTAGCTTCTAAGGATAAGGTTTTCTTGAAAAGAAGTATAACTAGATTTGCGGAATGGGGAAAGTAGCATATCGTTGGTTCAAGATTAATAATCTTTAAGCCAGTTTAGCTTTTTTTCCGTGCATTTCTATCTATCTATAAATTTTGAAAATACTTGCCACATTTTGTTATTAAATTATGCCATCTTTTAAGATGTTTCGACAAATTTGAGGTATTAAATGATCTCTTGTTTACACCTCCACGTGAATAAGACTTTCCACAATACTTACATAAGGCTAAAGATTCTTTTCTTGAATCTTTAGTAAAATGTTTCCATATATTTTTTTGCAACATTGAAATCCAATAGTAATTCATAATCCTTGA